TAGTAGCTGCGTGGAATGACCTTCCTCCGACGGTTGTACACGCTCCTTCTCGAACCCAATTTAAAGCACTATTAGACATTTATTTATGCGAATCCTCGCGCTGGCGAGCATACTGCCCCGCGCTGAGAAATTAAAGAGCAGTGCTACACCCTTTTTTCACTTGTGCCTTTCAGGTGAACGACAGCCACTGACCGACAAGAACAAAACCGACCCGGAAACTTGGTTTCCTGCAAGTGACACCCATCCGAATGATACCCGTTTATTAGGGACGGCTCGCCTCCAGACACATGGGCTTCACATCTGCAAAGTGTAAAGCGCTACTGAAAAACTGCGTGGGCTCGAACCTAGCCTCATGCTTCCGCATGAACCGATTGAGGTAGTAGACAAATTTGTTTGCCTGGGTAGCTGTATCGAATATCAATATTACCACAACTTTTCGGATTTTCATTTTTGTGGCCTATGAGGAGTTCAGGATGGACTTGGTAGGATTTTAATTACACATATAACCTTACTTTGGTTTATGTGCACTGCGTTTTCCAGTGTTTTCTCCAGTTGCACTCCGTCTTTGCTTAAGGTGTAACGTACGTTTTTTTAAATGTAAACCCCGGCAACACGGTTTATAATTGCATGTGATGCGAGTGTTGTTGACACAAATAAGTGATACCTAAAGCGGTACCCAGCGACTGTGTAACTATACAGTCGTAAATAAGGTATTTATTGTGCAGGTCCAATTTGTATGGGACGGGTTGTGGTAATAGCATCAGCCCCTGCGTCACCTGTGGCGTAGGCGTGACGTCAGCTTTTCCGTCAAGAGTAGAGTTTACAATGCTGTGGCGCGCTCCATACTAGTAGCTACTATACGAATCAGAAACCCGGCCGTTGCGCGCTGAGGACGTCAAAAGACTTTCAGTGTTTGACCCTCAATGTCTTCAGAGCATTGCCCGAGTCTGGCGGAATACAGGATCAGCAATGCTGAGGTTCGTCGAATATTCGACGATGCATCAGTTGCACTGGTTTGGCTGCGTATGCCAGTCGGCCGACTTCCTCGAAGGGTTTTTTTTCGCACAACCACGTGAAAGGTGTAAACGAGCCAGATGCGGTCGAACAATGACTTGGCAGCGAAGTATAAAAGCCATTACAGCAAACTCAGCTGCGCTGGTCATTGGCGTCTCCCTGGATGGGTACCTCGAGAGGGGTTACACCAATGGTTGATTGTCAGACGCGGCCCAGTGATACCCACAATGGCGCTCGTGCATCCGAGCTATTGTCTTCAATGCATAGCTCCTTTCTCAACCCCCCACAATTCATCAGCTTCCGCCTCCAATGCGCAGCTACTTACCCCACCTCCCCAAACCATAGGTGAACGAAACAGTGGTAGCTACAACAACTGTACGACAAGTACGCCGTTCTTACAGCTGACAGACGACTCGGTTGCCATATTCAATAAGCGGTCTTACGCAGGATCCGTAGAGTATCTGGAGGTCCATACGAGTGATACGGGGGAAGTTTTGACAAATCATGCATGAAACGTCGAATTTCTTTTGAGCCGATTTCTCCTAGTACACTGAGAAGGATATGTTTAATGTGAACCAGATACCCAAATCCTTTTGGCATCTATTCTCATGATGTCTTCTCGTCCATTCTTACCACGCACGACAAAGACGCTCGCTGAGTTTCCTTCGAATCACATATGGACGCATTTTTCGTCATTCAGGGGGAGGTGCCAGCCCAACAACCACTGCCTTCCAGTATCCACATCCATTTGGAGAGCACTGGCATTTGAACTGCGTGATTTCAGGTCGTCTGTAAAAAGTAGACATGAACTTCAAAGAACGTCTGGGAGGCCGTTGACGTAGATCAGAAACAGAAGTGTTCCCAAAGCAGAGCTTTGAGGAATTCCAATGGAGACCGGCGCCGGAGAAGGGTAGATTGAGCCCACTTCCACTTGGAATGTTCTGTCTGAAGGGAACGCCTCAGTCCAGTATAGAATTTTTCTTGAATCCCGTAAGACTCGGGTTTTCGTAGCAGCGGTACGTGTGAGACTCGATCGAATGGTTTTGGGGACTCGGAAACTATGGCATCCGATATTAGTCCGTCGTCCTTAGCTCGGGTTAAGCTGTTCATAAATACAAGCATGTTCGTCACGCAAGAACGGCTTGGGAGGAATCCGGGTTGAATTGGGGATATCAATTTGTTGGTAGTAAGATGCTTTAGGATAGCCCGCTTCAGAAAGCGTTCGATCACCTTGCACGGTACGCTAGTGAGGCTAATAGGCCTGTAGCTACCGGGCGATAGTCGGTCACCAGTTTCATAGATTTGCGTGTTCGCTTCCTTCCAAGTAGAGGGAAGGTTACTCCCGTCGATTGGCTGACGAAGTCGTTCAGCTGTAGCACCCTTTCGCTGCCTAGCTGCCATGCCACACGAAGGAGGCACGAGGGTTGGAATACTGTCAGGTCGCTATATTCCCCTCAATGGATTAGCCAGTCCCATTCCATAGGATAAGTCTGTTAGGCTTTGTGCCAAACGACTGACTGAGTGATTGAGGAAGTGGCTATCCAGCCCTATATTCCCTGATCACCGGTGAAAAAACTGCGACAGCTATAGCCACAATACATGTGCATGGTTTACAGCTCATGATGATGATGATGATGATCGTAACCCATCTCCAAACCTAACGACTCAGATCTCTTTTCCTCCTACTCTTATCCACGCTACTCGACCTCCGGTGCCCCCAACAACGCACTCTTCTGTCCCACATTTCCCGAACTGAATGCTGTTTTTAACTCCCACTTGCGCACTAATCCTCACAACACTGACATCCTCTAATTTAGGTAGTGATGTATCTACACCAAAGGTGCCAGTATATCCAATAGGTTTGCAGATTATATATCCCAACTTACTCCGCACCTCACCCTCCCTATAGAAACTTGACTTCAAAAATTAGTGATAACGTCGTAGATCCCCCAGGATACAAATTTCAGCGCTTTGGGTTCCTTACTGGTCGCCTAGGTTATGTTTGCATCTTTTCAGACAACTCCTCTCCGAATCTTTGACGTCCAAAGCTCACCTTGAATTTGTTGGCCTACTTCTACTTACCCTACCCCTACCTCTAGTCTCTGCACAACCAGGTGTAGACTGCAAGGCAGCAGTGTAGTGTGAGGAACTGAATTTTGGACCTATCTCATCCGTCCACTTCACCGGACGTGGCGTTTGTTCGGGTACATTTCTCTAGCTCCAGGTGTGACCTGAAGGGCTGCAGAGTTTCATGGTTGCTGGTGACCGTGAAGCAGCTCGTGCACCAATTTGGTACTACTAAGTGCCGACTGCCTTCAATTCATAACTCCCCTCATTCTCCCAGCTAAAGGCTCACTTACAACCATGTATTGTATCAGTTGTATCGTCTACCGCCTCCAATATGCAGCTATCTGCTCCATCTCCCCAAACCATCGGTGGCAGCTAAAACCACTGTACGGCAAGCTGCTGCTGCTGATGACGATGACTGAGCAAAGATTGCGGGTCCATGTTCTCCTCGTGTCACATGAAAATCCTTTATGATGGGGTAATGCCCACCATGTCCTTGTGTGGTTTTGGGAACGAAATGATCCCTACGATAGACGAATGGACTTCCCTTCCCAACATCTCCCCTCCAACAGACACTTGTTCGATTCGGCATGACTTTCTTATACTACGTCCTTGCACCAATAATTCAACTTGTTTCCCTGCGGCCTGCCATATCCCAACTGACAGCATTTTTTGAAACTTTTTCTATGCGTCCGGCAAAACGTCTCATACACTGATCATCCGTTGCTAGGAAGCGCTAGATATTCAAGGCCATTTATCTTACCAGTTGCCAGCTTTCGTTCTCAGTCGATTACTCCTAGTACGTATTGGGAGTGCACCTCAAGGCTCGTGAATCAGCTTTGGCCCGACACTATTCCTTACACTCATCGATTCTCTCTGTGCCCTTTTCCAACGTAGGGTCCTCCTGTATACCAGTGATCCATCTGCCACCCACATTTGTACCCGATAAGATGCGTCCGACATTATTCCCGTCAATCCTAAAGGAAGTCCACTTATATCTATTTGGAACCCATCCCAACCTACTTTTTACCTTACTCTCATACCTTGAACATGCTCTCACGAATCTTCCAAACGTCAGGTATGACTAGGTTCTGGGAGTATTTACCACCGTTGTTTTCTCCTTCAGTGGTAATACTACAGTTTCTCTCTGAGTGCACCGTACTCAATTTAGAAGCGCACAATTTCGCTATACTTTATCCCACCTTTATCCGTCCCTCACTGGTGTAATCTAATATTGCATTGCTCCGGTAGCTAACGCACTTAAGAACATGTTTGGAAACGTTCATCGCAAGAACGGTTCCCCCCTTGTAGACTGTTGTCTCGACTGGAGCGTTGGAACCCCGTTTCCTCTTAGGCACCGCAGACCTCACCTCTGTCTCATTTTTAACTCGAACTTGCTTCGCTCCACCCTATCTCACAACACGCTTCGTGGTCACAATCTTATGCTTTCCCGACAGACACATTACCGGACTGTTTAGAAACTTTCCTAATCTAGTCGTCCCTTTCTTGAACAAGCTTTTATCCGAGACTGTCCTTGCTTCATTAATATTTTTGGACGTATGGCTAATTGATTGCTCTCCAGAAGTGTCCCCTAACGCTTCCGGCTACAGAAGTACGCACTCACACTTGTCAACTTGCATGACCTACCGCCGAGTCAAATGAGTCCGGTCTCAAATGTCTATCATTGAGCTGTTGCTTGGTACCATTGTTGTTATTATGGTCGTGGTTTACCATCCAGCGGTAACCACCAGCCTACCGAAACCAACTTGCAATGTCTAGTCCTGTTTTCCCTTTTAGTGCCCTCGACTATGGACCCCATCTGTGGTCCATGGCTTCCTATTTAAGGACGAGCCCAATGAACTGAATCATCATCATCATCTATTTTCATCCATTTTCAATTTTCTCCACTTTTCCGACGGACGACCATTTCAGTGTTGTGATCCTAATCAACGTTACGAATCGGAAAAAGTCGTAAGGCTAGTGGACATTTTTCCGGTTTGTGCACATAAGGTTCTAAGAAGTCCTAAACGTGAATAGAAGAGATCGGTGGTGATGCCTACGGGTCGGAAAGACATCTGACCTGGCAGTAAGTAGCAAGCATCACCGCTTCCATTTTATCCTGGCCTGCTCTATGCGTGTGTGAGTTAGCAATTCACTTGTGACTCCACGGAACTATTGTTACCGACTGTCGCTGACGGAACTATTGTTGCGTCTCAAATTTCCGGTGACTCACGCTTCGTTGATACTACTCATTGAATGCGTCCCATGGAATGGTAATCGCAACCTGCCTACTCTAGAAAGAACTATTCTCCGATCCGAAGGGGCAGATGACTCCGAAATAGGCATCTCGCCACAAAAACTCGGAGGGTACGCACTATATGGTGGGATAGCGTGCCTTGAGCAATGCATCCCCCACTGCGTACTATTAAGACGCTGACAGAGTGGTAAGTGCCTTCCGTCGTCGCGCAAGGGACACTGGCAATCTGCATGAGGCCGCTTGGTGAAACACATTTCTCTCGCCTGCGATTCATACTGCTAAAAAAAACATATTTCTCCCACGAAACTGCTTCTTTCCAATTATGAGGACGACTGGGTGAATGCACTTGGAAGACTGTTTTTTCGAAGGATTGTGAGAGCTCATGAACCACATTCCATCCACTCCGTTACAAATTCACATACGGATTACGACCCTCCCGACCTAATGCGTCCACTCGATTACTGAAACACATAACCTCGAAAGTTTGGATTTTCCACTACCACATCAGAATTGTATCTTGGTGCGGCCGCTGAAAACCAGTTTTGCCAGAATTGTCAAACAAAGTTCATCTGCTCGAAAGGGCTTTGCGTTTTCTCCATCCATTGTTCTTCAGCTCGTCTGAAGCTTTACGTGAGTTTTAACTATATTCCAAATTCTTCAGCTTTCACACTGCTTGAAATGGCAATTTCCAGTCACGTTTCATAGTACGCAGATGCAGAACGCACCACAATGAGCACTTTTGGCAAATTGGCTTCCTGTTGCTTTGCCACAGGTCCAATCTGTGGCAGTCTCCTCTTTTATCAGGCATCTAAACTGGCGCTTTCGGGATGGCGATTCTTGTCTTCCTAAACCTGTGACAGTCCCGTTGTTCCGCATAGTAAAACGAATACTCAGAAATGGAATACCTCCGTTGGTTTTTAGAGCGGCTCCAGTGAAGCGCTAGAACAGATATAAACCTTGTCTCCCCTGTCATAAGTTTTCAAATCCGACAGTCTAGCATGACACCGATATTGTTCTGTCTCTTTTTATTCTTCGATTCATTTTATTTTCTAATTTTTCGCATTAGGCTGTCCACTGAGGCGGATATGTCGTCGTATAGGAAAATCAAAAATGAGCTTGAAGCATACCGCATGAACAAAACACAAAACGCCGATATTAACCTTGTTGAACAACATAAGGGTATCTGCAATGTTGATTTGCTCCAGGTGAATGAATCAATCACACAAGGTGAATCCACTCATGAGCCAAATAAGGTACGTTTCCTTCAAAGTAGAGTCAACGCTTTGGCCTGTTGCGTAACTTCTGTGTCACCCGAGGGAACTACGAGGGATGAGCTATTTTCGGCTATCGGTATATAGGTGGAAAGAATTCCAAGTCGTTTGCTGGGTTCGTGCAACTAACCGTTCGACTTCAATTTCGATAAATCTATCACAAAGCATGATGTTTTGGTGTTGTAGCTCTTGTTTGCTTTGATAACACAGTCGTAAACGAGTTTTATCAAATCTAATGGTGTTCTGCGAGATTGTAGGGGCTACTAATGGAACTCGGGAAAGAATCAACTCGTGAAACCTCATTCCGAGAATACATACTTCCCCAGTAGGTGATCACAATATTCTTTTCCTAGCGAAGTAACTTCACAGCACAAAACTGGTTTGTTATTCAGAAATCTCTCATCAGCCGGTTTTATTATTTCTATTTGCATTATTCAGGGCTATTATCAAACTCCATCTTACCTTTGGAAGTATTTCCAGAGAGAAGTTCGCTGCTAACTGAATCTGCATAATGCCCTTTATAGCGAACATGTGATACAAGGCTTGAACTACTTTGGTACCCGAAAAGTACAAACCACTGATACATCTCACTAAAATGGGTGCTTACCTCAGAACCTACATACCATATTCAAATGAATGGTTTTAATCTGATGCAGGAATTTCGGTCGAGTATATTTGGGCTTGAATGTTGTCTTTTATCTAAACCTCCAACTGGTCAGTGATAATACTCTTTCATTCGACCCGTCACTATGTTGTCGTCGTAGAATCTGATCGTGATATGGGCAGTTAAAGCGTGCGTTTCAACTTTAAAGTTGAATCGTGACCCAAAGCCTCTAAATAAATGAGAAAAATAAAGAGTTGGTCATCATCCTGTCAAATGATGTGACAAGGGGCATGAAGAGATGAACCTGTCTTCCGTCCTCGAAGAGGAATGCAATGAGTTCTCGAGAAAAGCAAGTTCGGATTAGAGCGCCTCATCTCTAGCGTGGAAGACCTCACAACCATAAATGATTTGAAACTGTGTAAATGTAAAATGATGCAGAAGTTTACAGAATGAAAACAAGACTTTTCGATAAGGTTATTGGTAATATGATGGGTAAGAAAAGATTTGGGAGATGACAAATATTACGGAATTATATCAAAACTGACGAGACTGTGTTTTCTCTATAAACAGAAACAAGTGCGAGGGCAACATATCCCTCGTACGAAGCCTGTACTATGCATGACCTGTTCCCGCTGTATTTATATGAGCCTGTGAGACTTGATCCCTGGATGCTCTCACAATCATAGATTTTCTTACCAGGATGGTTAAACCTCGCAAGTCACATATTCCGTTCTCACCACCATCGATGGCTTGAAGCGCAGACGAAAACTGCACGGTTTTAAAATCTCTTCGTGTTAGCAATCAACTGGATAGCCTGTTTTTGTGTATCAAAGGCAAATCTGGCTATGCGAGTCCCTTTTCTGTACACTACGAAGAGTATTTTTATCCCCTTGTAATCCGTCAACGAGTCTTGTGGAGGTTACCCTAGTCGAACTGAACAACGCATATTCCCCCGCAGGTTGTCAGCTAACTTATTGCATATGAATTTCAGTAGACAGAATCTATAGTGGCCCTCTGTCGTCCTATTTTTACGTTACTCCCACTACGTAATCCAGTTCCCAACGTCACCTTATCATCTGTTTGCCATGACACATTGTCCTCACTTCACTTCTATACATACAGCCGACATCTGCCATTCGCCAAGTACTCTTCTCCTGTAAATTCCAATTCATCGTCACATTTTTGTTGTGGATTGCGGCCGTTCAAATTGGATTTGGTGCCGTTTGGTTTGTCTTAGCCGCGCTGTACTGGATCTGGGTGTGGGGCACAAACAAATCCACGCGGTCCCACGTGCCTGGCGAATCGATTGTGTCCGCTGGTTTTTATTTCGACACTTCGCCTTTCCCTTTGCACGCCGAAAGGTGAATTGGATTGGTCACACTGTCTGATGCCACTATTTGTCTTTCATATTTTATTATTTCATCTCCTTCCAAACTGTGGTACCCTTGTGTGTCATTTGGTGCTGAATGGATCATTTCACACTATGACCTCTTAATTTTTTGAGTGTGTGGCAATAAAATGTCAGTTATCGTGGTCGGTGCATCTCGTTTTTCTGTCTAAAAGCCATTGGATTACACAAAGGACAAGTATCATCCCTTAGAAAAGATGTTTCTTACATTCCCTCTCCCAGTCCGAAGTTTGCGTGTTTACCAATTCGTGCCATTTTTATCACGAATATTTGTGGTTTGTTCTGTAACATTCATAATATGATATGGATCTAAACTGCTCAAGGTATTTATGTTGTCTATTGATTGGTTGGCGCAAACCATTTTACAGGAATAAGGGTTTCATGTCTAGACAAATACGACACTGAGGTTGTTATAATCTTTAATGATGCAAAGTTATTTACTTGCCTCTCTGGGTGAATTTGGTTCTAGCTATTCAAAATGGTTTGTCCAATATGCAGTTCTAAGCTCTTATTGATGGCAGCTATTTTTTCCCGCAACTTTGCTTGAGACCTATTCGATTTTCTTGTTCACTTAAGTTACTCAAATCACGATGGCGTTGGAAAATTTAGCTTTACTTTATGGTAGATGTTACAGGGGGGCAGTTTATCACGCAATTTGTTCAAGCAATTCTGATAAAACGAGCTGGAAGAAGCCACCCGTTAAACCAGATCTCAGCATCTTGGCGTTGGTTCCGATTAACAGGTTTGTCGTGTGGACGCAGCTTTAGCCCATCAAGACAGTGAGTCGTGTGGACGCAGCTTTAGCCCATCAAGACAGTGATCCGATGATTCATATCCCATGTTTTTTTTTCATTTTTGAACTGAGTTGTATTTACAAGTCGCACAGTTATGACGCGTTTCCGTAATTGAGAGCGAACCTTCTCGGAAAGTGAAACTTTTGTTCCGGTAAAATACATGTGCTTGTGGAGAGGAGTCAGAGCAGTATAGCCGATTTTCTGCTCTCAGAAGAAGCTACAACCAAAGTTTTAGTGGTTGTCATGGCAAGCTAGTATACCGTTATGGCACCCAAACCTCCGCACTAGAGCCATTAAGGCTCTCAACCAAAGTCTGACTCAGAAGCCTGGTCGAAGGACAGCTGGTGAGTCCGGCACATAGCACATAACCAAAAATGTTTCCACTCGAACTTGGAGGAGCAGAGCGCTCGGGTTGTGTAGGCATCGTTGTGCCACCAAATAGCTGTTTGAGTAATGTAAGTACACAGATCGTCGCTTACTGTATACTCCAGTTGGTTCTGGTTTGGGGGTATCTAAACCTCGCCACACATGAAGGTATGCTTCAAGTTAACCGCATCTTAGTCTTCCTAGATTCGCGCAATCGTCCACAGGAACTATCCTTATTATATAAACAACTAATGCGGTCGATTGATTGAACCTTTGAATGCCCTATCATGCTGACTACTCATCCCAGACGATAGTATTCTTGCTCAAAACATATTCATTCCTAAGTGAAGATGACCCAACTAGAAAAATCAGTAAGAACTTGAGGGGTTTTGGTGTTAGGTGATTTGACCTGTGGACCAGAAAACAAGTGTATTTTGATACAACATCTGATCGGACGGCTTCAGTGATTGCTCGGTTCACTCGCGTATCTCTGGATTTCTACTAAAACAATGATATCTTCAAACGCATCCAGTGTATGGCTTTCCAGATACACTTGCTACCAGCATCGCTTTTAGGCGTTTCTTGTTCGTTCACAGAAGTCAGCGGACGTTATCTAATTTTGAATACACAGTTGTACAACTAATGATTTGGTTAATTTTCTACCTATGCTGGAACACGAACTCAGAGCGAAGTGTCATTCTCCAAGTTGTGATTTTGGTAGCTGAGTTTTCTTCAGCCAGCTTCACAAGCTGGAGCAGATTTTTTGTGCTGACTGTTGCTCCGAGGAGGGAACCATCCTCCCGTAAGTAGTTCAGTCTCTGGGACTATGGACCCTGTACTGGCGAGAAGGTCTACGTGCTGATATGTCCCACATCATAGGCAAAGTTCTTTCAGGCATACGCGAGTGTCCATCTTAAATGAATAATTATCTCGGGATACTAAATACTTTAACCTCATGTATTGTGTAGGAAGTAGGTGTGGACATCTGCGCATTGAAGGCAGTGGCTGATATCGTTTACAAGTGAACCGGATTGGCAGTGAACTTCTTCTCTGGGGAGCTCGAGAAAGGGAGCTGTACAATGAAGGTGACAGCTTAGATGCGTCCGCATCATTGAATGCTCAACTGGGCCATGTCTATCAATGTGGTCATTGGCTTGTTCGCTGAGCGGGGCGATTTGATTGCAACCACTAACCCACCACTGCGCTCCCCAATAATGCACTGTTGGTGTCACCTCGATTGGTGATGAAACGTTTGCAATCAAATAGTCGAGCTCAGCGAACAAGCCAACGACCATCTACACTATCTGTGCTACCAACATTCTCCTCTCTAAAAGATGTGATATGTCTCTTCTCGGGGTTCCCATCCAAAGAGACTGATGAAGTTTTTCTTTTCGTTTTTTTCTTTTTTCTTCATTTTTCTTTCTTTTTTCCCTTATCATTTGCATTTGAGAGCATTCACTAGGATGGGGAAAGTTAGTGAACCTGTTTCTGGACATTCTCAGGGAGCGGAGGTGGCTTAAAGTTTCGGGATGTTTTCTTGGTGGTTTTATTAATATTGTGGAACAAAATTACCAGTCTTTTTTCTTTCTTCATATGGCCCAATACGGTCCTGATAAATTGACTCATTCGTTTACATGTTGCTTCATCATGCACAAAGACAAGGGACCTTATCTTCCTGTCACTTATGCGACACGTCACTTGAAGTGATGACAGTCACAATTCTCCATGGATAGTCGAACACACTTCAAAAACTATCTGAGGCGTGAAAGTGGACAAAAGTCGTCTGACCGTTTGTTGAACCCAGCTTGATTGATTTTGGAACGTCTTCAGACCAGTAGGAATATCTTACGTAGCCAAACCTAATTTCCCATGGTATTCGGTGGAGACGGGATTCAAAACTATTTCATTCTGCAAAAAACCGGAACTACTTTAAGGTTGTTTCGTCCTTGCTTGGACTTGTCAGCACTGTACACATCTCATGAATCTTCAGGGAGTTTCGAACTTGGACACCGTTTTATCAATCAAGAAAGGCTGTTCAACAGTTCCTGCCACCCGTACTTATTTGTTGCTCGGGCAACTGACTGACACCGGATCACACACCAGTTGTCCAGACAAAGGACGATGTGAGGTGATCACACCGCTGATCAAGCACTTAGTGTCGATACCATACTGCTCAGCCACTAACGGAGAAGTCTCTAGTTCAAATCCCCCCAGAGATTTATGTGACTCAACTGCACAGCACTCCTCGTCTTCCCGGCACAGGCTACTTCATGATGGGTGAAATTTTGACTGAAGCCGGATAAGTGCCTCGCTTGCCTACTCATGAGTAGGTGAAAATAAATGAAGTTAGAGGGATTACGCACACCACTGGTTCGGAGCATAAGGGATCAAGCTAGTTTTTAGGCAAGTGTCTGTTTAGCTATTGACAAAGAAATTCTGTGTACTAAAGGATTCTGATGTTAGCCAAATGACCGTCCTAGATGGTGTATGGTATGAAAAAGACCTTGCCGAAAACATGTTCTCAACCCACCAGTGCCTCGCTTGCCTACTCATGAGTAGGTGAAAATAAATGAAGTTAGAGGGATTACGCACACCACTGGTTCGGAGCATAAGGGATCAAGCTAGTTTTTAGGCAAGTGTCTGTTTAGCTATTGACAAAGAAATTCTGTGTACTAAAGGATTCTGATGTTAGCCAAGTGACCGTCCTAGATGGTGTATGGTATGAAAAAGACCTTGCCGAAAACATGTTCGTCAACCCACCTGTATTCTGATTATATCTTTATTAACTTCAAAACACCTGGGAATGGTCGTGTTACTGTATACCATACCGGGGCTATAGTATCGTGACACAGTGTTCTGAGCCACAACGCCCCGAGGATATAGTGTCCAAGGTAAGTTTTCTGATGTACAGTAACCGATTATGGTTCTGTCTCGCCTCCATCACCGAACAACACGCCATAAGCAATTATCACATTAAGAATTACAGTTCAGGGTTACCGTTTGAAGGAGCACATTCACCACCTCGTGAAGTAAAGTATGAAATTGAGAAAAATGCAAGAATCCCTTCCTTCTCAAATTTCAAGCTACTATAATGTTGTGTTGAATGGATTAAACACAGTAAGACCACTTAGGGGTCATGTGTGCGTTGGTTTTGCGCCCAGCAACTCGTGTCCCACTGGCATGTGACCCACGGAACATGTTGGTTTTTTGCTGAATTTTTCTGTAGATGGTCATATTTGTAGCCTTTTTTGAGGGTAAATACGACTCCCCATCGCACAAAATCATGAACTTCTAGGGAGACGGCATCGACTTCCCCAAAGACAGAACTTGCTACGAAAATTTGACAGAGGATGCTCACTGTGGGCTCTTCTGAGGAGCGACCTCGTTCCAAGAGGAATTGGGTATATATAGTAAGCACCTACTGTGGCCGCCCATTACTTTTACATCCCTCCGCGTCCTGCCACCTCGAGATCCTCGAGAGTAAATTGGGTTTAGGCAGGCGCGACATACGAAACAATATCTTTCGGTGGATTCTTTACCTGGCTGCGCCTGGTAAACTTGCGAGATCATTCGGCTACTTCTATCTTAGTGAAAACTAACTAGAAAACCCTCTATGCAAGATCAAGCTATTGTATTCTGTTCTCGCTTTTGTGAGCTTGGAGTGTTCAGATCTCAGATTGAGCCGTCATCGTCGGCCATAATTTGCAGTGCCACGTAGGTGGTAATTTGTAAATATTTACTCTGGGTTCTTGAGTTTGCAAGGTAAAGCATAAAACTGATGAGTGAACAGCATAGTACAGCACTGAAAAGTGCGTGTGGGATTGGTACCAAATCAAACATGTGATTTGAGCCCGTCTGCTTCGGTACACACAGTCAATCAGCGAGGTGTTCTATTTTTATAGGATGGAATATAACCAAATGACAAATGTATCCTTGTCGCATCACAGTGAATAAGATTTTCCAACGGGGCTTTGCATGCATATCTGTAACTTTGGGAAGTGCATATTATTTTGGAACTGCTCCTTATATGCATCTGATGTGCACCAAAGCAGTCGTACATGAAATTATAAAGATTTGTGATTTCTTAGTTTAATGGCCTAAACTGCTGGAGCCCGACGATTGTGTTTCGATGGT